AGGAAGGAAGGGAGGATGGGAGGGAGGGAAGAAAAGAAGGAAGGAAGGGAGTAAGGGAGGGAAAGAAAGAGAAAGAGAAAGGAAGGAAGGAAGGAAGGAAGGGAGGAAGGAAGGGTGGGAGGGAGGGAAAGAAAGAGAAAGGGAAAGAAAGAGGAAGGAAGGAAGGGAGAGAGGGAGGGAAAGAAAGAAAAAGAAAGAGAGGAAGAAAGGAAGGAAGGAAGAAAGAGAAAGAAGAAAAAAGAAACACACACATCTATCTCCAGCTCTTTACAGTGTCATGATGTCATCTAACATAAGTGCAAGGAAAAGTTCCAGGCATTTAATTCTAGCCTTTACAAAACCCAGAAGCAACTTGAGTTAAGTACTATTATCTTCATTTCCTAACTTTTGGCATTTGTTGACTCATTATTTCACATGTGGCTTGGGTGAGAATAGCACCTGGGTGGAAACCTCCTTCCCCAGCTACTTCTCTGGCCAATGCGGACTGTTCTGAATTTCCCATATCCTTTCTTGCAGCTCCTGCCTGAGGCTGAAATCCTTTCTGGGGTGTTTTCCCAAGTCTTATCAGGATGGGATGCAGAACCAGATGCTGTGCTCTGTCCAAACCCGTCAGGCTCCTGCCTTCTCCTGCAGTCTCACTCTCCCGATGCTAACCCAGACCCACCATGTGGCTTCTCACCGCAGTGCTTATCAGGCCATCTTTTTGCTTGGACTGTCCTTTCTACCCATCCTCCCGCAGCTAACTCTGCTCATGCTTTTACACTCAGCATAAACATCCTCTCCCCCAGGGAGCCGTTTCTGACCCAAACGCCCAAGTTGGGCTAAATGTCCCTGCTTGGGTCTCCCACAACTCATGCTCACCCACATTGTAGTCAAAGTGTGCGGAGCACACGTTGGACTAATGGGAATTCCACTAACTCTGCTTGGCCAGAAGGAGAAAGAGAAAAAACTTTTTATTTATTTATTTATTTTTGAAGCAGGGTCTTACTCTGTCTCCCAGGCAGGAGTGCAGTGGCATTGTCCTTCTGCACCCACCCCCCCTTTTTTTTTTTAAGTTTTTGTAGAGACAAGGTCTCACTCTATTCCCCAGGCTGGTCTCCAACTCCTGGGCTCAAGTGACCCTCCCACCTCAGACTCCCAAGTAGCTGGGATTACAGACGTGCACGTCATTTCCCTATTCCCTTTATTTTATTTTGTTTATTTATTATTATTATTTTTTGAGATGCAGTCTTGCTCTGTTGCTCAGGCTGGAGTGCAGTGGCTCCACCTCGGCTCGCTGCAACCTTTGCCTCCCAGGTTCAAGAGTTTATTTCACCTCAGCCTCCTAAGTAGCTGGGACTACAGGTGCGCACCACAATACCTGGCTTTTTTTTTTTTTTTTTTTTTGTATTTTAGCAGAGATGGAGTTTCACCATGTTGGCCAGGCTGGTCTCAAACTCCTGAGCTCAGGCAACCCGCCCACCTCCATCTTGGCCTCCCAAAGCTTTAGGGTTACCGTGCTGGCCCCTATTCACATTTTAAATAGAACCACTCTTGGCCCCCTGAGCACTCCCCTGTGAGGGTTAGATGGGAGACCCGAGTGTTATCTTAGTCCTCAGGTGTTTTAACATTGGGAGCCTCTGGCCTCTCTGGGAGTGAATCTGGCATTTAAATACACATATATTTCCTGGAGCAAGAAATTTCTCAAACATAGGAAGACAGTTGGGATGCCAAGGACCAAAGGAAAAGCAAGCATGACATAGCCACCCACAACAAGGGCTTATTATCCAAGCTTTGGGAACTAGGTTAGAACCCCAGCTCTGTTGCTAACCAACCTGGGTACTTTAGCCAAGTCACTGTACCTGTCTAGACTTTAGATCGCAAGTCTGCCCATCTCATAGGGTTACCCTGAGGCTAAATGGAGTAACAAATGTCATGAACTCACAAGGTAGACTCGACCCTCAGTAACAGTTCGTGTCACCTCCATCCCCACACTACTCTCCCTCTTTGGACCCTGCACCCATGGATTCCATCCACCGCTGGCTAGGAGCTGAGCAGAGGCACCGAACACGTGAAGAGGTGAACTGGCAAGGAAGGCTTCCAGGACAGGTAGCATTTCCAGAGTTCCAGCCTGCAGGCGTCTACCCAGCTTGGCCGAGGCTGGCACGCAGAGATGCTTCCAGCCTTCCAGCAGCTACGCACTGACTGCAAGAAAAGCCTGCTTACAAATCCCCCATAGGCATTTAGGAGCTGGTGGGGCCTCTACACATTCGTGTCGCCCCCGGCCACATCTCCTTTGTGCCACCCTCGTTATTGCAGTCTTCCATCCGGATGGCATTTTGCTGGGTCCGGGTTTGCCACCCGCCTGACCACCAGTTCCTTGAGGGCCAGAGGCGTCTGCTGCCCCCGGGGTGTGCGCCCAGACCGCAGCTGCTCGGATCTGGAGACAGGAAGGTCTGCGGGCGAGAGCCTGACGCCCGGGTCACAGTTAAGGATGCAGGAGCCCGGCTCCTTCCGGTAGCGCCGGCCCCGTCATTAGTTGCTTCTGTGCCTCCATTCGGTGCTGCGCAGTCCCAGGGATGCAGCCGCAACTTTTGCGCATAGTAGGCTCTCGATCTGTAATCCAGCCAAGCCAGGCCTGTAGTCTGTAAATGCCAACTCAGCGGGAGGGCTCTGGCTGCTGCCCAGGGCCGTTTCCCGGCTCTTTCGGGGTTGCCCGCGCGCTCCTGACAGGAGGAACCCGCAGCCCGCGGGAGTCAGCGGAGACCCGGCCGGCACTTCCCAGCCCTCTGCACCGCCCCCGCGGCGGGGTCTGGACCAAGTCGCCCCTAGCAACAGCAACCGGGCCGGCTTTCCCAGGCCACGCTGATTGGCCGGACTCCGGGAGGCGGCGTGTCGTCACTTCCGGCAGCAGGAGGCAGCAGAGGAAGCCGAGGGGCGGCCATCTTGAGTCCGTGAGGCTCCGAGGTGCCGGGGTGCGGAGGCGGCGGCGGCAGAGGTAGCGGCAGCCGCTAGGGCGGAGGCTGAGGCAGCAAGCTCGCTGGAGAGGGAGAAGCAGCTTGGCGCAGGCGTCTTCTCCGCAGGCCGCTCCATGGTCGGCGCCTACAGCCCGCGGCGGCCTGTCTTGCGCTCCACTTCCTTCACATCCTCCTCTGCCTCCTGTTTTTCAAGGGCCGCCGGCGGCGCTGTGTGGAGGCCCGCGAGCTGAAATTCGCGGCGCGACGGGCGGGAGTGCAGAAGGAGGCCAGGGGGCCGGGGCTCGCGGGGCGCCCAGAGACGAGGGGACGCCGGCGGGCGGAAGCGCAGCACGCCGCCCGCAGCCTCAGCCCCGCCACTGCCGCCCTCCCGGGCTCCTCGCCGCGGCCGCCGGGGCAGGGAGAGAATGAGCCCCGGTACCCGCCGGGGTACGGCCCGGGCCAGGCCCGGGATCTAGACAGCCGTAGGGGGAAGGGAGCCGCCCTCCCCACGGCGCCGCTCCAGAACTGCCGTGGACTCGAGGACGCTGGTCGCCGGCCTTCTGGGGCTGTGCTGTTTTGTTTTCACCCTCGCATTGTGCAGAATTAAAGTGCAGTAAAATGTCCACTAGGACCCCATTGCCAACAGTGAATGAACGAGACACTGAAAACGTAAGTAACCTGGGCGTTCTCGTAGGCGGACCTTCAGGGTGGCCTGCGTGCTCCTCGGGCCGTGCCTTGCAGCCTGGTGTTCCCCCCCAGCCCGAACGCTCTGGAAATAGAGGGCAGGCCGTAGTCACCCGAGAGGCAGCCGGGCCGGACCGTTTCCTCCAGAAGTCCGCCCTATCCGCCCGCTCGCGGGCGGGTCTGCGAAGTCTATCGATTAGGCGGGCAGTCTCGTCGATTAATAAAGCCCAAAAAAGTTGCAGCGTTACGGATCGGTTCTTTGAAAGGTCAGGTTGCCGCACAATGGATTGTGCATGTGTGTGTGTGTGTCAGATCACTGCAGTGGTCAGTGCTTATTTTAACCAAACTCTGCTTTTAACTTGGTCAGGCAATTCTTCAGGGATTGTCACATTAATAACATATATTACTGGTGCTGATTAATCGATTGGGTCAAGTGGACTGTCTCGTTCTTTAAGATGGTCTGGAACTAAATTTAATCACAGCCACTAAGTGTCCACTGAGGGATCTTTGCGGAATTCCAAAACACTAGAGCGCAGCCTTTATTAAGGCACAGATTCCTGTCCATACAAATCTTTTTTGAAAGAGTTGGTTATGCCGGGCGCGGTGGCTCAAGCCTGTAATCCCAGCACTTTGGGAGGCCGAGGCGGGTGGATCACAAGGTCAAGAGATCGAGACCATCCTGGTCAACATGGTGAAACCCCGTCTCTACTAAAACTACAAAAAAATTAGCTGGGCATGGTGGTGCGTGTCTGTAGTCCCAGCTACTCAGGAGGCTGAGGCAGGAGAATTGCCTGAACTCAGGAGGCGGTGGTTGCGGTGAGTCGAGATCGCGCCATTGCACTCCAGCCTGGGTAACAAGAGCGAAACTCCGTCTCAAAAAAAAAAAAAAGAAAGAGTTGGTTAAACATTTTGAAAAGCAGGAAAGCAGATGTATAGTGAATATCTGCTCTGCCACTCACTGCTTAGCAGAGGGACACCCGCTGGGGGCTTTGCTGTCCTCCTTCCTAAAAAGAGGTTGGCTTAGATGAGCCCTTAGGTCTCTTTCAGCGCTCACAGGCTATGGTTTTATAAAAGGAACCTTTTATTTTGTTCATGTGAAACTACAGAATGCCAGGAACAGCATTGCTAGAGAATGAGAACTTGTAGTAGAAATTCCATCGAAGAAATGTTTGACTCTGTTCGTTCTGAACTCTTCTTTAGCACAATGGGTTCAAAAAGTGTTTCAATCCTGTTGTTGGCTGTCTTCTGTAAAACATCTAGCAAAATAACTTGTAAAGAAATTTCACTGACCTTTCATTAAAAGTGTTATGAGGTAATTGCTGGCACGAAATGTCTTCTCTTAGGAAATGCTTCCTTGCTTTGAGCATTTTCATGCATTCAGTAATGTCCTGAGATGTGGCCTAGTGGTGTCAGTGCCTTCATTTTGATCTTAAAAATGCCACTTGTGGCCGGGCGCGGTGGCTCAAGCCTGTAATCCCAGCACTGTGGGAGGCCGAGATGGGTGGATCACGAGGTCAAGAGATCGAGACCATCCTGGTCAACATGGTGAAACCCCGTCTCTACTAAAAATACAAAAAATTAGCTGGGCATGGTGGCGTGTGCTGTAATCCCAGCTACTCAGGAGGCTGGGGCAGGAGAATTGCCTGAACCTGGGAGGCGGAGGTTGCGGTGAGCCGAGATCGCGCCATTGCACTCCAGCCTGGGTAAAAAGAGCGAACCCCCCTTGCAAGAAAAAAAAAAAAAAAAAAAAATGCCACTTGTTTGCTGGATAACTGATAATTTAATCTGTAAACGTAAACCTTAGTCTAAAGCATCCCTGTAGCATATTAGTGTATAATATTTAATACTGTTTAACCCTCAATAGGTAGAACAGTGGTGTATGTTTCTCCACCTGAGATAGATTAGAAAATTATGTAAAGAGTAATAGAAACTCTTAGACTAGGTGAATCAGGGAACTAATTTTCTTATAGTCCCTTTAAAGAAACTTTTTTTTTTTTTTTTGTGGGATCGAGTTTCTGTCTCCCAGGCTGGAGGGCAGTCGTGTGATCTTGGCTCACTGCAACCCCCACCTCTCAGGCTGCAGTGGTTATCAAGCCTCAGCCTCCCGAGTAGCTGGGATTACAGGCGTGCACCACCATGCCCGGCTAATTTTTGTATTTTTAATAGAGATGGGGTTTTACGATGTTGGCCAGACTGGTCTGGAACTCCTGGCCTCATGTGATCCGCCCACCTCGGCCTCCCAAAGTGCTGGGATTACAGGTGTGAGCCACTGTGCCTGATTGATTAGTTTTGATCATTGATCTTCACTCAGAAGCAAAACTTTGCATTGAACCAGAGTAGGAGCTCCTTACTTTCTAAACTGAAGCCAAAAACAGCCATAGCAGATTTGTGGTAATGAAGGATTTCAAATGAGTCTTCTTTTTTTTTTGAGACAGAGTCGGGCTCTGTCACCCAGGCTGGAGAGCAGTGGCACAATCTCAGCTCACTGCAACCTCCACCTCCCTGGTTCAAGTGATTCTCCTGCCTTAGTCTCCTGAGTAGCTGAGATTACAGGCATGCAACACCATGCCCAGCTAATTTTGTCTTTTTAGTAGAGACGGGGTTTCTCTATGTTGGTCAGGCCGGTCTTGAACTTCTGACCTCACGTGATTTGCCCACCTCAGCCTCCCAAAGTGCTCTGATTACAGGTGTGAGCCATCAGCCATATAGTGTATTTAAAACTGAATTGTTGGCTGTGTTTAAATCGGATTTATCACACATTATTGCATTAATTTAACATGCCCTGTTACATTTTTAACTCTTGTATTGGCATGTTCTGGAAGGAGCTATGTATCTTTCACAGTGTGGTGCCCTTGTGTCAGTGTTACAACTCAGGTATATATCATATTACCTACATTACTGTACTGCTAAGTATTAGGCTTCCTGCCAATTGAGTGGTGAACATTCAAGAATGAATGGGAGCTCTCATTCTGTTGAGAAGCTTTTTTCTTAAAGTTAGTTTTATTGAGATAGAATGTTCATCCATTTTAAGTATATCGTTTGGTGAGTTTTGACAAGTGTATAGTTATGTAACCACCTTCACAAGATGTAGAACACCCCATTGCCAGAGAGGTCACTTATGGCCCATTATAGTCAGTGCCCTCTCTCTTTCTCAGCCCCTGGGTAACCACTGATCTGCTTTCTGTCCCTATAGTTTTGCCTTTTTTAGAATGCTGTGCAAATGGAGTCACAGAGTAAATAATTTTTTGTGTCTTCTTTCACTTAGCATAGTGCTTTTGAGATTTATTTTTTGAGTGTGTATCAGTAGGTGTAGTATTTCATTGTTTGGATGTACCACAATTTTTTTTTAATCCACTCACCAGTGGTGGACATTTTTGACTATTATGACTAGAACAGTTTTGTTTTTCTGTTTTGTAAAAATACTTTTTATTGTGCTTATCCCAGGAATCTTACTTAATTGTGTATGTCTGTGATAAGAATGTTACTTACTAGATCAAGACGAAGAAAAGGCAGATAGGGTGTGGTGGCTCATGCCTGTAATCACACCACTTTGAGAGGCTGAGGCAGATAGATGCCTTGAGGCCAGGAGTTCGAGACCATCCTGGCCAACATGGTGAAACCCCATCTCTACAAAAAAACAAAAACAAAAATTAGTTGGGTGTGGTGGTGCATGCCTGTCATCCCAGCTACTTGGGAGGCTGAGGCGGGAGAATCTCTTGAACCCAAGTGGTGGAGATTGCGGTGAGCCGAGATCATGCCACTGCTCTCCAGCCTGGGTGACAGAGCCTGTCTCAAAAAAAAAAAAAAAAGGTAGATAATTTGCAACAAAAATATTATCATCATCTTTGTACACTAACCCATTTTTGATTGATTTCCAAATGTTGATGTCCACCCTTAGTGAATGGGTACGTAAAAGTTCACTGTCACCACGTCGTGTTATAGCTCAAAAGAACCAGTCAACCTGATCCAGTGAGGATGATGAGACTCAGAGAGGTGACAGAGACTGCTAGTAGTGACAGGAGACCACTATTTAGTAGCAAAGCCTCTGCCAGGCTCCAGATCTCTAGCTTAGGCTCCACAAGGGGTTGTAGTTGTACCTATACACAGAGTATTTCTATAACTTTTGAAGCTTGTGGATCAGGGGTGTCCAATCTTTTGGCTTTTCCGGGCTGCATTGGAAGAAGAAGAATTGTTTTGGGCCACAGATAAAATACACTTACACTAATGGTAGTTGATGAGCTTAAAAAAAAATTGCCAAAAAAATCTCATAATGTTTTGAGAAAGTTTATGAATTTGTGTTGGGTAACTTTCAAAGCTGTGCTGGGCTGCATGCAGCCCTCAGGCCGTGGGTTGAACAAACTTGTTGTGGATTTATTTTTATTTTTGTTTGAGACAGTATCTTGCTCTGTCACCCAGGCTGGAGTACAGTGGAGCAATCACAGCTTGCTGTAGCCTTGACCTCCTGGGCTTAAGCAGTCCTCCCGACTCAGCCTCTCGCATGCATGGCTAATTTTTAAATTTTTTTTGTAGAGACAAGATTTCCCTATATTACCCAGGGTGGTCTCTAACTCCTGGGCTCAAGCAGTCCTCCTATCCCAGCCTCCCAAAGCACTGGAATTACAGGTGTGAGCCACCACACTCAGTCAAAACAATTTTTAAAAAATGTTTTATTATAGGAAAATTTAAATATTTAGAATGTTATTTATTAATATCTCTCAGACCCAGGGTGATTTTGCCCTCTAGTGGACGTTTGACAGTGTCTAAAGACATTTTTGATTAACACAACTAGAGAGAGGTTTGGCTGACCAGGAATACTGCTTAACATTTTACAGTACACAGGACAGCCTTCCACAACAAAGAATTACCTGGCCTAAAATGTCAGTAGTACTGGGTTTGAGAAACCCTGATGTGTATAGTTAGCCCCCATGTACTCAACAGCAGAGCTCAGTGGCCAGTCGTACTTTGTTTATAAATGAAGAAGTAAA